GTAAGTTGTGTTTTGGTTGGTCCTTTAATATAGATTTCCCCTTATTTTTTCAGATACTTAAAGCTTCAAAAGAAAGTCCCTACATCAGGAGGACCAGCCCTAACCATACGCTACAAAGGGGAGAGCAGATGGTTGTAATAGATCTTACGATATAATTACTGAGCAGTTCAGGGTTTGGGGAGCAAACACTAAGATATTGTAAATGGGTTGTAGCCAACTGTCATTTTAGTAAGCTTTTTTTTTAACACTTGGATGTTTAATTTACATTCTTGTCTGATTTTATTTTTTTTTGTGGGGGGTCAAGTTTAGTGAATTCATTAGTTTTATTTTTCTTCTGTGTTCATGACAGAGTTGAGACTTTGAACTACATTTCATATGTGCTGTTCAAACAATTGTTAATATTCTATTTATAAAGTAGCAGCAAGTACATTTTTTCAGATTTTAATATATATCTTTTGTTGTGGATTCATACAGTGTGTACAGAGCAGTTTGATGAAACATAATATTATGAATTTTTAAATGTTTTATAACTGCTGGTATAGCATACGGACTGAACGCATTTTATTGGAAACACTAATCAGGCACACTATGCTGTGAAGTTTTTGACTTGTATCTCTTTGCACTGACATTACGTCAACAGATACACTACATGATTTTCAGGTGATTGAAAATAGTCTAACAATATACAAACTGTGTATGTTTAATTCACAGTAGTAAAAGGGCAGATTACTAAATTACATTATTTTTTTCAGAAATCTTTAGTGGGTGCATTAAAACTTTTTATTTATGTACATTTGGTTTTGAAGCAAAATTTTCTAGAAACTACACAATAGCCCAGCAGGGAGTCAGTGTAAATTGAAACAAAGCAGAATCACCAGAAGCAGGTTGATTTCAGGAAAATTATCATACTTATCCTAGCGATATAATGATTTTTAAAGCTGGATTTAGGAAACTGTATTCAGTGAACTACTAAAAAAAAAAAAAGTTAAATTTGTATAAATACTGAATTTGTAAATCTAAATAAATAAATTCAACCTAAGGAAAAATAGGGTATAAAAATTTAAAACCTACAATTATAAATGCTCTTGTAAACGGTACACAACTGAGTGATTTAGAATTTTAATTCTAGAGGTGTACTCTTTACCTGTTCCATGCTGCTGTTCCACAATTACAAAGACACACTTTATTCTTTGGCATTTTGCATGTGCTCCTTTTTGGCTCAGGAATAATTGCTGTGGTTTTTAAAAAAAATGCTAAGTCTAATGTGAGAGCTTGGAAAAAAACGAATGTTTAAAATCAATTTGTAACGCTAACAGCGGTTGCCTTTTGGTTGACAGGGAGATTTAAACTTCTGTAACACGTGAACTGAAGTCAGGTTTTCAGTTGGGTTTTCGGTTGCTTACAGTTCTAGATAAAGGGACATCATATACTCTGGCTTCTTTTGCTTGGGACTTCAGTAAGACTCCACGTAAATGAGTGGTACATATGATTAATAAACATAGAAGATGTTAAAAGTGGCCTCTTTAGACTTTCAAGAAAGCAATAATACTCTTAGACTGTGATGTGGTTTGGGATGGGATATACTCATAAATTTACCTGTGATTGTGAATTGCAGAGCAATAATTTTTACAAAGCCATATTTTGTGATGAAGCTTGGGAATAATTTTAGAACGGTGAATGGAGGACTTTTTATATAACAGTGGCAGCCTACTTGTAGACTAACAGGACTGTGAGAGTATATTATGCTGTGATCAAATTCCAAGTATTTTGTAACTGGGTATGTGATTTTTATGTGCTTCATGTTTACAAAAATATGCCAGGCTGGGCAAGGTCAAGAGGACTATTAAAGAAAATATGTATATTTCATCTGTTTTAATGTTTGGCTGCAATAAAACACAGAAGAATATCTATGTCTTTCTAGTGTCATTATTTTTTCCAAAGTGCGGTATATACTAACTATGTGGGATAAATATTTGCCTCAGATACTAACTAATCTTATTAATTTCCAAGTTAATTATTTGAACTTTTAAAAATATAACTGAAAGTAAAATTTACAAAGAGGAGGAAATCTAGTAAGCAGAAGTAATTTTTATTTTAGGTGGTAGTATGTGATAGGAATGTGCGTTACTATAAATTGTCTTTTATTATTGTGTTGTGTATCTTTTGGACTATTAGCTACTAGGCAACTAATTTGGCCTCAGTTTTGCTCACTACATGTAATTTATATTTGTAACTTAAAATGGATGAGAAATTACTGTGACTTCCTGGATGTATCTTACCTTTGTTAAAGACACCTACTTTTCACAGAAGCTATTCTATTTTATGGTCCATAATCTAAATTAAAAGTCTAAGAAATGTGTTGTGTTTATTCAGTTCTGTGCTTCAAAAGAAGCTTCCCTGAATTTGTAAGACTTCAAATAGTTTTGTATTTTAATATTGAAATACGCTTGAATAAAGAACTGCAATTATTAAAAAAATAAAATAAAAAAAATAATTCCCCAACATAACATCTTTATATTTTCCACATTGCTACATTCCTCCTTGTCATATCTCCATGAATGTATAAAATCTTGGATCCAGTTATTTTTTTGGAAATCACAAGAAGAAATACCAATAAGGAAAGCAAAATTTAAATAAAAGCAGAGCAGGATACTAAAATACCATTTTAATATTGAAAATTTACTACTATTTTAAGTGACTTTTCATGTTCTCGGTAATAGAAAATGTATCATATCATAATCCAGTTATTTCTAAGAAGTGAAGCAAATTGTTAAGATTGGCTTTTGGAAAGATATTGAAAATTTTCATTTATTTACTGAATGTCATTATGTAGTTTCTAGTGCTTGAAAAATTATGTATGTGTAAATACCACTATATTATACAGTTAGGTATTCTGTTGATTGGGTTACATGTAATTTCTATGAGATATGAAATAGATTTTGGCTGTGACTTGGGTTATTGTTTCACATTCATTCGCAAAAATCTAGGCTTACTGCAATGTGAAAAATAAATCGATTCTATATAGCAGAAACTTTCTTGGGAATACCTGGCACATGTTACGCTATGATAGCAACTCTAATCTAGAGAGGCTGTTTAAAACAGCGTTGTCTATAGTTTTTATCTAGATCTGTTTTGATCAAAACAGAGAATTTGAGTTAAGGATGAGAGTGACTTGAAGAGCTACCAATAAATTTTCAGTTTGGGCTATGACTCGTTTAAGTTGATAACTAAATAGTCTGGAAAGTAACTATTATATCCCTGTCTTTGAGATGAAGCACATTTTTAAACCTTTATCAGAAATGGCATAGTTGAAATGATTTGCACCATCAAAGTAAGGCAGAGATCAGTGTGGAGAGAACAAAGCAATATGCGTTGTAGCCGATGCTGAAGCAAATTCTTAGTTCGGCATGGTAAGAACTGAGGAAAAAGATCTCCAGAACTAACAAGTTCAAGTTGTGTTGAATTTCAAAAGCAGCTACTTAGAAGGAAAATCTGGAGTACAAAAAGATGATTGGAGAGGCTTTATTGAAACTGATGGCAGTTAATTTAGCAGAATACATATTGGAAGAAATCTAGGAGAATTTGGAGAAATGATCCTGATACATAAATATAGACAACAATACATAATGTGTGAGCTTCAATAATAAAGTGGTCCAGAAATGGGAGACAGGAGTAGGTTTTAGAGTGATAAACTCATACTTTGTTCTTGCTGTGATATAACAGAACTTGCAGAAATAATGGAAATGTCAGAGATGGGTAGAAGAGGGTCACTGAGTGACCCAGGAAACTGGGTGGTTAAGTAGCATGATCTATCATGGTTTATTATCCTGTAATGTGTTTATGCTACTTGCTATTATTTTATCAACTCAAAACAATATGAATACTATTCTCTCTCATCTGGAGCTGTGTTATTGCTCTTTTTAAAAACCAATATTTCTGATGCCATACTGACAGATGGATACATCTCATTCCTTGCTGTGTGTGTAAAAAACATTTTTTAGCAAGTCCTGAACAGTGCTTTCATTACTATCCTATTAGAGTAATAATATCCTCCCAATTATTTCATGGTATGTAACTCACTTTTTTTTCATTTTCTTTCAATTTAATTGACTATCTGGATTTCATGAAGTAATTGAAGAGGTGAATGACTTTCAAAGTCACCCTATTTAATTTCTTGTATCAAATGAAGTTAATCCTCATTATGCCTTGTGCTGAATGTAAAATTAAGGTGTACTGTATGCACATCCAGGAGCAGCAGTTGTCTGCCTGTAGTAAAGAGGTGGACAGAAATTTCCTTGAAGACAGGAGGAAGAAATAAAAAGCTAACTCTCTTTTTTAAGTATTATAGAGTATATTAGGATTAAAATGTGGTAGGAGTACAGTAAAAGAAGAAAAGAAAAACTTGTTTCTGAATGTACCTTCTAGATGCATGATTTTGATACAACTATTTGTATGTTTTTTGCTACAGTAGTGCTTAGTTAACATTTGCTCATGCATTCAGCTGTTCACAAAACATTTGGTTTATTTTAAATGTTAAAAAGTAAGTCAAGAATTTCCAAGTGCTGAAGTCATTTCTGAATAAGGCTTACGTTCCTGATCTGTATGAATGTTTTTTACTTTTTAATCAAATGTGTACATATATATATAAAGATAGTATTCCCATATTCCCAGGAGTTTGTAATTAATGAACTACTTTTTTTTTTTTTTAACAACATAGCTTGTATTGCAGTGTGTTTCACTTAAATCTTCCAACTAGCTAAAGGGGAAAGTTTGTGACAGAAATAATTATGCAATATGTGAAGCATCTGCAGAGAAAGACCTTCTATGTAACCATAGTTCAGACAGTAAACTATGCTTGGTTTTAAAATAAAATTAAAGAAGAAACAAGTCCAGTTAGCACAATCATATTTTGAGTCTAAACTGTAATTTTATTTTAACTTTCTTATCCTAAACTGTTAACATAAATTCACTTCAATGGAATTATATTTTTAATATTCTAGGAAAAGGTGAAAAAGAGACTGAACAAGACAAAACAGAAAAAGGTAAGTAAATCTAAAAGTAACATTCTACACTTCTGGAATTTGTGTTTTCTGGGAGAACTGATTTAAATTAGGTTAAATAGTAGCGAAACTTAGTTCTTGTATATCTTCCACAGATAAGCTGGAATTGAGTAAATGTGCAGTGTGCAACTGTTTTTGTAAATAGTCAAAAACTTGACAGTAAATCATTCCCCTCTTACACAGTTGCAGGCTGCTGTTAAAAACTTCAGCTGTTTCAGAACTAAAAGGCTTCAATGTCGTGCTCCCTGTGTGATGTTGCAGGGGTCGTAGCGTCACCACACAGTTCGGGAATCTCAGGGTGAGAGGCAGCTGGGGCTGTCAGAACCTGTAAGCCCTGTTCAGTGCTGTGAGCTGCCCTCAGCTGGGAGCAGGATAGCTAAGCTTGTGCAGCACCTGGCGAGCCTCGTGTTCTGAGGAGAGTAGAGGCAACCTGTGGATAACAACACTTAATAGCTCCAGTGTATCGGCATGTAACTTGAGTTTTACCTGCATTACTGGTTGATAAATTGTAGGTCTAAACAGATGCAGCTGTGGTGTAGGGAAGTTATATCCATCCTCACTCACAAAACACTGGCTGAGAGAACTTGTAGGTGCTTTATAAAAACAGCAGATAGCACTGAAATCAATCTGCTTCAGTGATACCCAGTATGGGTTAGGTAAGAACATCCAGAGAACATACAGAGGCAGGTTTGGTGGAAAAGTGAGTGGTGCTGAGTACTGAGAGTCTTGTCTTCCTACGTTGACGTTGGTGTTGGCCCTGTGCATTCCCTGTCGCTGCTTTGCAGAGTCTGTGTCATTCAGAACAAATTTTGTATGTCTCCCTTGCTGTATCGTTGCAACTGATCACAGATAAAAACCTCAGCGTCTGTGTGTGCATCCTTTTCACTCGGAAGGCCTAGTGCCTGCCATAGGTAGCTCCTCTTTTACTTCTAGGGGGGAGGTAAAGGGTGTCAGTGACTGCTGGTGTCCTTTTTCATCCTCCTCTTGCTCCTTTTCATCCTCCCCTTGCTCTGGCTGCTCTTGGCTTGGACTGGCTCATGCTTCGTTGGGTTAGAAACTGGCTGGATAGCTGGGCCCAAAGAGTCATGGTGAATTGAGTCAAATCCAGTTGGAGGCCGGTCACTGGTGGCATTCCCCAGGGCTCGGTGCTGGGGCCAGTCCTCTTTAATATCTTCATTGATCTGGATGAGGGCATTGAGTGCACCCTCAGTAAGTTTGCAGATGACACCAAGTTAGGTGCGTGTGTCAATCTGCTCGAGGGTAGGAAGGCTCTGCAGGAGGATCTGGATAGGCTGCAGCGATGGGCTGAGGTCAACTGCATGAAGTTCAACAAGGCCAAGTGCCGGGTCCTGCACCTGGGGCGGAACAACCCCAAGCAGAGCTACAGGCTGGGAGATGAGTGGTTGGAAAGCTGCCTGGCAGAGAAGGACCTGGGAATATTGGTTGATAGTTGGCTGAATATGAGCCAGCAGTGTGCTCAGGTGGCCAAGAAGGCCAACAGCATCCTGGCTTGTATAAGAAGCAGTGTGGCCAGCAGGGCTAGGGAAGTGATCGTCCCCCTGTACTCAGCTCTGGTGAGGCTGCACCTCAAGTACTGTGTTCAGTTTTGGGCCCCTTGGTACAGGAAGGACATCGAGGTGCTTGAGCGAGTCCAGAGAAGGGCGACGAAGCTGGTGAGGGGTCTGGAGAACAAGTCCTACGAGGAGCGGCTGAGGGAGCTGGGCTTGTTCAGCCTGGAGAAAGGGAGGCTCAGAGGCGACCTTATCGCTCTCTACAGGTACCTTAAAGGAGGCTGTAGTGAGGTGGGGGTTGGTCTATTCTCCCACATGCCTGGTGACAGGACGAGGGGGAATGGGCTAAAGTTGCACCAGGGGAGCTTTAGGTTGGATGTTAGGAAGAACTTCTTTACCGAAAGGGTTGTTAGGCATTGGAATGGGCTGCCCAGGGAGGTGGTGGAGTCACCATCCCTGGAAGTCTTCAAAAGACGTTTAGATGTAGAGCTTAGGGATATGGTTTAGTGGGGACTGTTAGTGTTAGGTCAGAGGTTGGACTCGATGATCTTGAGGTCTCTTCCAACCTAGAAATTCTGTGATTTTGTGATTCTTTTTCATTCTTCTTTCTCACTTTTTCTCAGTGTCCATTATATTTGAGTACTTAGGAATACTACTTCTGTGTTCTTTTGATGGTGTGTTTTGTGTATTTGCATTTTAAATACAGACTTCTGGCAAGCCATATAAACATTATATTGAAATATTAAATATGCTGAATGCAAGCATTGCATTTGAAAAAGAAACGTACCATCAGCTGGTTTATTTGTGAAGCAACGCTGTTATATCCCCGTTTCCAATTACAGAAGGCTAGGTTTGGTGGCAGGAGATACCTTACCACAGTTGATAGTAGGAAAAAAAAAACATTGTGCTAGCTTCATTGAGCTGCTTGAACAGTACAATAATTAGACAAGTAATAGTTGTCCCTTATGAATGAGAAGCATTCACAAGTAAAAAAATATTTTTTTTTTTGGGGGGGGGGGGGAGCAGGGACATTATAATTTTTAGCTTGTTTGCTTGCTTTTTTAATAGGAGTAAGAACAGAACAGGTATCAAATTTAATCACATTTGCATTGTTTAAACACACTTGTAAAAGTTGTTGAAATACAGTGGTTCCTCTACAGACACAACAGCTTGAAAGACAAGTAGCAACTTTTTAAATAGATTTTTCTCACATAGTGCCCTTTAGAGCAGACAAAACCAAGATATCTTTTTGCTATTGGTCTGTTAGGACTTTAATTTGTTATGTATCTGCCAGAGTAGATTTTCTGGAGGCAAGCAACATTACACATCCAAGGAAAAAGTTTGGTTCTGCACTACTGAATTGCAGAAACATGAATATGGTGTAGTTACTTAATATCTTTAAAAAATGTATATTGTGAGAGAGCTGATACTTTTACATAAGTATGTCTGACAAGAAAGAAAAATCCATTATCCAGAATAAGGAATTCATACTTATTTGTTGCTATCTTAGAGATAAATGTTTGTTTTTTTCTAGGCTTTCTTCCAGCAGAACATAATAGATATTTAAAATCAACTTTGCCTTCTAATTTCTGTGTTAACTGAAGCTCCTCTGGAAGCTCCTCTAAAGAAACAAGCAGCCAGCCAAACAAAAACTCATATGTAGTGTACTATTACTTTGTTATCTCTGTTACATCCATAAGAATATCATCAGACTTTATATTTTGTCAAGGAATCGAAAGGGCTGGTGCATCTGAAAAATAATTCTTTAAAACATTTCACAGGTAGTACAACTCAGGGCATATATACCATATCCATAGGACATCTTTCCATATGATGTCTTTTTAGTTGTATTTGATCACATAGGCTGGCAAAAATTAAAAATTAAGAAGGAGCTTCAATGTTCTGCTTTGGCTTGTATTGGCATGTATTGATACATGGATATCAAAACTGGAACAGTTGTTTACTGTGGTGAATCTGTTTCTTTCATACACTGAACATCAGTATATGTAATTATAAATATAATTTTCACTTTTCAAAACTGATGAAACATAAAAGTGAAAATAAATGCCATCTGGTTGGAGCACCAAGCTGTGTTACATCAGGGACAGAGCATACATAAACGAGGCTTAAGACAATGTCATTCCACAAGCAGCCCTGCAAGTGTCATTCTGATACCAGGGTTAACAGTCTGTTCAGTTTACTCTAGGTTAAACCTTTGAACAGGATAAGTAGGATTCCACTGATACCAGTAGAAATCTCACCTGTATGACTTGTAGGGTATAAGGAGCTATTCTTCTTGCTAAATGTAGGTTTTTGCTGTAGAGTAAGATGAATTATACCATAAACTCCATTAACAACCTTAACCATACCTTCACTGGCTGTACATTTAACTCACACATTTAACTCACCTCCAGCATGGTCACTTCAGGCTAGGTAAGCTGAGTTCCATACGAGCAAGCTCTGTTTTTAAGGGAGCTCTATTTATTTACCTAGATATTTAATTATAGCCTACATTAAATATAAGCTGTTGGCAGGATGTTGCGTTTGATTGAAGTGCAGTTCTCAAAGTCCAAAAGTGCTGCAAACACTATGTTGAACAAAATTTATATGACACTAGAAAATGAGTGTGTACTTTTGTATGGAAAATCAATAAAAAATAAATAAAATCTGGTCTTGTCAAAGGGATGCTTGATTGTAGCCTGTGAATGAAGCCAAAAGACTTTATGGTGAAAGGGAGAAGAGAATAGTGAAAACACATGCCAAAAATAAAATTATCATTCTGCAATTGTTCCTTATGATCAACATTAAGTAACCGACAGTAATTTCAGACAGAACACCCTGTAGAATACTTTTTACTGCAAGGGATATTGTTCTGAAATAACTGCAGCTAAAGATTTATTATAGTCATTAGATTTCATGGCTTTATTAGTCCCTAAAATGCCTCATTTTTTTTAATGGTCTGATTGCTTCCCCAGATAAGTTGATTACAGAGGTTTTTCCTGTTCTACTAGCACAGTTTAGAGAGATCTTTTAATTATTGTAGTGCTACTGTCTTTAAATTGTCGAGATGCATTTACTGAGTTTTATACCTTCCAAGTTTTCCTTTATAGAAGCCCATAAAACAAGGCGATCGCTTTTGCTATCTGTAACTCACCTAATGAGCTTCCCAAGCAACTGAGCAATGGCAGAAGTTTTTCATCATCATCAAATTCTCATTCCAGTGCCCACTGAGAGACAGCACAACTGCAAAAACTAATTTGTCTAATGACATGGGACAAACATGAGGAAGGAAGACAACTGTGTAAGCAAATTTTGAATTTTAGGTAAAAGCAATGGGCCTACTAATATAGGTATATTTTTCAGCCCATAACTGAAACTTCGTAACTTGGACTGGGAAGATACGAATATCTGGGGGGAGAAGACGGTTATTAGTAAAACAGAATGTCACAAAAATCATCGAAAAACTTCAGC